CGATAACCGTTCGAAGAAAAAAGCCACAGGGAACCTCTTCACTAATACATTTCTTTAATAAACCCTCAATAGTCAAGCAACTGTTTATTGAAACTGGTGCTTGACTTTGTCATATCTATGGAATTCCGTGCATTCGATCATTCAGGTGCTTAATATCTCATACACTTTGACCAGTGATAATCTTCTTTGAAGGATACCCTAGTATATCGCCCTCATTTTCCTTAGAAACTTGGACCGTACAGGAGACTTATTTACCTTCTTCGACTGAACTCCCTAATGTAATGCAGAAGGAGCACAATAGGACTTAACGGGGGTCAGTCATTATATAATTTTTACGCCTTTGGCACTGGACCACAGACGACTCTTTCAAGGAATTAATAATAACAATTTATAGTCCAAGACGCATGACTCCAGTCAATCCGTTGCATTAGGTTCAATTTTTCACCTAGTATTATTTTACGAGTCTAGCTATTGGTGCAAAGAGCCCAAACAGGAAGAAAGCAGTTCATTTCTAATATTAATATTCATCTTGGCTTGAAAACAACAGTTGCTATCGTAACCATACCTACCAGACAGTAATAAAAGAAAACACGTTGGGCTCAATAACACTAAAGTTGGGCACCAAAGAACGCTGAATCTTTGAGGGTATGAAGTGACATATTTAATGCATGAATAACTTGAGTTTGACTTTCATTCCATGATATAAACGCATATCGCATATCCACTCTTAACTTCTTTATTTCTGTGTGGCTGAAATAAAACGAAAATGAAAAATACCGAGCTTTCAAATGTGGATATAACAAACTTTTGGCGGAAAAACAGCTTCAGCTATTTGAAATAAACAAGATCATTGTCCTTAATTTTAGTTTCCTACAAGGGTTTACTTCTTAAACCTTTTCTCAGCGATATTTGTTTATGGTTATAATGACACCCCATGTAGAAATTATAGTTCTATCATTACCGTAAATAGAGAAAAGTGCCAAAATTATGAAAAGTCAATGCTGGCGGTTCTAAGCTCGTCGCAAATTGTGAAACTCGAAACGACAGGAAATTCCATAAAGTGATAAGAGAGGTATTAATGCAGTGACGAAGCCCGCTGTTTGGGTTCAATTTACGGTGTAGAAAAATAGAGTTGATGACAAAAATCTTCTTTATTTGAAATATCTAACTTGACAAAAATTACAGTTGTTTTTTTGTGTACTTGGAAAGATTTCCTTTCACAGATTGTTTTGTTCTATCCCTCAACTTAGACCAATTTGCAGCTCGTTTGAATTCCGTTCATATTGTGACAAAAGTGATGATTTTGAACAAGAAGAACCTCGATAAAATATGGAAGTTGATTTACATGGCTTCCAATCAGAAAAATAAGTCGGGAACCAAATGTTGGCTCACATTTCTTTTTAACCTTAAGTCTGCAACAATTTTATCTAACGGAGGAAAACCTGAAAATGTCTTATAATTTAAAAGTTCTTCCAATGAAGGCCTTGGAAGCCAGATCCGATACTGAATGGTTTGGATGAATCCAATCATAAATTACGGTACACCTTTTCCAAACATCAATTTGCTATTATCTTTGAGATGAAAATGGCGCTTAAAACAACATTCAGGGGTTCTCCTTCGACAACCTTTATTCAATCCTGATGTATCGAGACAAGTTGCTCTGAAAATTTATGACATTTTTTGTTGTTTAATATCCACCATCTACGGGAGATTTATTGTTTGTTCAAACTAAAGAGCTTATTAGAACTCGTCATTAATCAATTTTGACGTTAACGAATGGCGGGGAAGATGAAATGGCTAATAACTTAGGACTTCAAATTATTGCGTTCCTGTATTATTTCGAGTAAGTAGGAGGGCCAAACGAGAAAATATTTTGCTCGCTGTAATGAAGTGGGAGTTACAGCTTAACAACTTCAAACACGATATCCTAAATTCAAAAAGGAGTTTCTCTTATTCATTTCGTCGAATTAGAACAAGAGACTCACAATCTATCCAAGAACGTGGCTTATTTTATTATTTCAGACATATTTCAAGATACAGTCTTAATTAAGAATTCGTGTTTTTGGAAAATGAAAGCTAACTTTGCGAGTGTTTTTTTTTTTTTTTGGCGGATAAGGTTACGCCAGCCTGTCTGCTCCTACACACCGCTTACCATTATCCGCAGGACTTCGTGAGCGGGACTTTCGGTACATAAGATCTATTTTTATTACCATATTTTTGTGAGAATTTTCTTTTCGTCAATTATTGGCGCTTCAATTAAACTTGTAAGGAGTTTCCCCTGAGAATGAAACAAAAAAACAAAACAAAAGAAACACACAAACGAAGAAACGTTGAATTTATGGATCGATCTTGAAAATTGGGAGTTCTTAGAAACTCAAGGGAACTTGGCTTTTTATGTGACTGCATTATTGGAATATGTTCACCTAATGTTCTTAAGAATATTCATATGATGTTATTGTCTTAAACGCACTCCATTGACTATAATTATGAAGCAATTGAAGTTAATGTTATAGAAATTTGTGTGGTAAAATCCCTTTTTCTAATCTGTTGATGAACACCGATAGAATCATAGCTAATCAAAACCAAAGTGTTTCTAACTGGCAGAAAGGAAGACATTGGAAACGTGTTCATTCGCAAACTTTAAAACGCGTACCCACATATATTATATGCAGGGTCAGGACTGACAGCTGTTAATTTTGTTAACATCCCATTTTTAATACTAATAGGTCGGTTTCTATCACTTAAATTCATTATCAAATGCAGGTGGTCGACGCGAAATTTGTGGCACACTGAAAGCATCAATACTGAGCTCCGTTGTCTTTTGTAAGCATGGAATTTTCAGCGTTTCTAGTATTTGCAGTCTGGACTTCATCGACGACTTACTTGACGTTTGGTAAAGGTGAGTTACAAAATGCGCATCATTTTCCATCCCTATATTCATACTCCAGCCCTTGCTATCTTATTTTCCGTCACTCCTTATTTCTATTTCGCTGATTTACAACAGCTGATGCACTGAACTTATTAACGTTTTAATACTGGTTTTAAATAGTTGCCTACAAAAATAGGGTAGCCCGTCTCCATATAATTTAACCATTGTTTGGGATTGAAAAAATAAAACCTTTGACGCAAAATATTGCTTTTCGAATTGGAGGCTTTAAACTTGCCAAAGAACAAACAGCTTAATTGAGATGATCCTCCCGAAAACCTTAGCACTGAGGCTTCGTATAATTTTCCAATTTTGCGCTCTTTCATAATCAATATCCCAGCAAGGATTCTTTAGACTAAAATTTATTTAAATATATATTTTCAGTGTTTTAAAAACTCTGTTGCTGTGATCAATATTTTTCAATAGCAGAAAAATGATTTGGGTAGACTTTATTCGACATGAGAAAAACAACTAATGAATTAAAACGATGAACAGATAAATGAGTTGTTTTCAGAAAACAAATGAGGGAAATAAAGAGATGATTATATTCACCATAGCTAAGCAATTCAAACAACTTTCATTGGCTCGCAAAAGTAAAAGAAATAAAGTTTCATTCTACATTTGCCCGTTTAGAAAACTCTCGAAAACGAATACAAATCTGCTCATTGACGCAAAACAAGAATGATTTTTCTCGGCTTAAATTTGCATGAATTCCCTCTGTTCACGATAGTCGTTCGAAGAAAAGAGCTGCAAAGGAGCTCTTCAGTTATACATTTCGTTTATAAACATTCAATAGTCAAGCACCTGTTTATATAAAGAAAAAAAACTTCACACTTTTTTACTTTAAGATGATCTCTGGTCAAAGTTTTTGAGATATTAAAGGCTCCCTATAAAAGAATTTAAATTGTGTTCTTTGCACTGATGAAAAATGCATCAAAAACTGCAAACATCAATTAACTCCCTCTGTAGTAGGAATTTCACAGAGTGTTTGATCGGCTCGTCTTTTCTATCGATATGATAGACTCATCTAAAAACGTACGAGCTTCTTGAATTGTGATACTCGAAATATTTGCCGAAAATTTTCCGTGTCTCAGAAACCACTAAACTCTCAAATAAAGTTATTTTCATGTTATTGTTTAATTGTAGAAAACGACGAAGCAATTCACAAAATTTTCAATTACATCTAACGAATCATCGTTTTTCTCACCGACTGCTATGTTTGACTTACGTTTTTAACGCATTTGCCACCATAGTTTGCTCGAAATTTCTTTTTCTTGCGACGGAAAAGTATGCCTTATAATCATATTCCAATTTGTCTATTTTAGAGCGAGAGCGCGCAATGGTGTTTCCGGACTACTACTTCTTTGCCGAAAGACGTTTGGTAAACCATACCATTGAAAAGAAAGGCGTCAATAACTTGGATGACTGTGAGCTATTGTGCTACCTGAACGACCACTGTGTCAGTCTTAACTTCGAAAAAGATCCAGAGAATAATAGACCACTTCACATCTGTGAACTAAATAACGCCACTCATCTAAAATACGACAGTCATTTGACAACTAATGCCACTTTTTATTATCGCGGCTCGAAGGTGAGTTACAAATCGATTTATCGAAGTTATCGCCTTTGAATAATATAATAACAAAAATTAATGTTTATACAAATTTTTGTGTACTCGATCATTCGGTATTTCGTTTCTCCTTTTTTTTTAGAACGCTTGTGACAAGAGTCCCTACTGCGAAAATAACGCAACTTGCCAGTCTGGATTTACACTCAAGGGATATCGATGCTTGTGTCCTCCTGGATTCAAAGGAGAATATTGTGAAAAGGGTATGAGTCTAAGTCAACACTTGAAATGAACCTCTATGAGATTTTTTCTGATTTTCAATGCTGGTATGACAACTGTTCTTTAGTTGCTGAAAGTGGCATGAATTTATGTCATTGTATAAGGTGCTGAATCCTAGAATCTAAGAAAAATTTCTTACTATATTTTATTGGGCGTGTGTAATGTATTCTTCGTTCGCTCGTTTGTATATTTTTGTTTTGTTTTGTTTTGGTTTGTCTGCTTGTTTGTTGTTTTTTTGTTTTTTTTTTTGTATTTGTTTTTTTTTGTTTTGTTTTTTCTTTTATTTTTTTTTTTTTTTAGCTTGAATGTTCGACGCCTTTCCAAGGCAAAATAAGAGCAGTTCATTCGTATGTCGAGTGCTTAATATAGTAACTGCAAGGAGAGCTCAGAAATAATAGCTTAATTGAAAAGTACGGCCAGAGAACTACTAAAAGCAGGAAGCTACAAATAAATTGAGGTTTTTGTGAGTTGCTGAGTTGCTGAGTTCCTATAGCTGTTTGATAGAAATCAAAATGCTTATATCTGTAATTGATATTTATTCATGTATTTTTTTTCGGTCCTTCTTTCTTTCAAATTTTACGACAGATAAATGTGAGGCATTCATTGGCAAATGTCACAAGGAGGCTACGTGTAATAACACAAACGGATCATACGTGTGCATATGCAAATCTGGATTTATCGGAGATGGGCATAATTGTACAGGTAACCTTCATTAGTCTAAAAAGCCTTTAGATTCTTGTTGAATAATGTAATGAGATTTTGTTTGGTTCGTTGTTTGTTGATGTTTATTTTGGTAACGTGGCAAGCCATATTTTAATTGTTTAGAATAGGTGAGACAGTTACCTGACTAAAAGTTATTAAGAGATAGGTTTTTTGCGTAGACAACTTTTTTTCATCAGGTACGACAATCTCGCGGTCTCGCAATCCAGCAAAAGATTGAAAACAGCCACAGCTTGCACTCTTTAAACACGGTAATGGCTTATGCACAACAGTTTTTGCATAATTTCGAAATCCCATGTTTTTTTTTTATCTGTGATTTCATAGACATTGACGAGTGTAAAGGAAACCACTCTTGTCACGAGAATGCAAACTGCACCAACACCAATGGATCACATTTATGCGATTGTCAGCCTGGATATAATGGAAATGGCCAAAATTGCACAGGTAAATTCGGAATAGCAAGGAAATGCGGTCATGGATGATTTATTTTAGTTCGTCCTTTCTTTTTTGGTATATATAACGTGTTTTGTGCTCCCGTAGCAAAACAAGAGCAGTTTAAAGCGTATGCTTTAGATAACACAGAAAAGGCTTATGCCACGGCAATATTTGCATAATTCTGAAATCCCATTTTTTCATCTGTGGTTTCATAGACATTGACGAGTGTAAAGGAAACCACTCTTGTCATGAGAATGCAAACTGCACCAACACCAATGGATCGCACGTATGCGATTGTCAGCCTGGATATACTGGAAATGGACAAAATTGCACAGGTAAATTCGGAATAGCAAGGAAATGCGGCCATGGATGATTTATTATAGTTCGTTCTTTCTTTTTTTGTATATATAACGTGTTTTGTGCTCCCGTAGCAAAACAAGAGCAGTTTAAAGCGTATGCTTTAGATAACACAGTAAAGGCTTATGCCACGGCAATATTTGCATAATTCTGAAATCCCATTTTTTCATCTGTGGTTTCATAGACATTGACGAGTGTAAAGGAAACCACTCTTGTCATGAGAATGCAAACTGCACCAACACCAATGGATCACACGTATGCGATTGTCAGCCTGGATATACTGGAAATGGACAAAATTGCACAGGTGAATTCGGATTAGCAAGGAAATGCGACCATGGATGATTTATTATAGTTCGTTCTTTCTTTTTTTGCATATATAACGTGTTTTGTGCTCCCGTAGCAAAACAAGAGCAGTTTATAGCGTATGCTTTAGATAGTCTTTGCCGTACCAAAGATAAAAATTGAAAAATAGCGGTTTGAATTGTAGGTCCAACCCGAGAATCGCATGAAACAAAAAAATTGCAAACGTATGACTTTTGAATAAAACACAAATCCCGTTTTTCATTCTTTTCTCTTTGTTCTTTTTTTTTTTTGACAGATATTGACGTATGCAAAACATATCCCCACAAATGTAATGTAAATGCTCTTTGTAACAACACGCAAGGATCACACGTTTGCACATGCAAACCTGGATATACTGGGGATGGACGCAACTGTACAGGTATAGTCAGGAGCCTTCATATTCGTTTCTACTATTATAATGAATTTTTGCACGTTGTTGCCGAAGCGGTTAGAGCGCGAACGAAGTGTACAGAGAAACACTAGACGTAGTAGAGAAGTATTTGCGTCTCTGCTCACGTTATGATAGTGTAAATTACGGCGCTTGACATGTTTTGAAACCTTTATTTGGTTCTTCTATGGCGTGACAGTTTTAGCTCAGCATTATGTTTTCAGTACTCCGATAGAGCACGCTTTTTCGACCGATGACAGCACGCGTTATATCCAAACTTGATCATAATTGGTATTGGATTATTTGTATTACACCACCTTAAATCATGTTACGGACCCCTTCATCGTTGATGGTTTTTGTGTCTTTCTGCCTTTGGATGGGCGTTGCAACAATAATAGACGACGGCGTGAAACATTCTTTTGAGTGATATTCTTTGTAGCTTGATTTTGACGTAATGTGTATGTTCTCTTTCAGACATCGACGAATGCAGTGAAGCTCATGCCGTGAAAATGAACAAATGCCATCCGAATGCCTCTTGCACTAATATTCAGGGCTCATACAACTGTTCCTGTAATCCTAAATATATCGGGAATGGTTTAAACTGTGAAGGTACTTTTGGTATCTACTACGCCATTAAATTAGTTAAGGTGGCTATAGGTTAGACTCAATCTGAATCTTTCCTACTCAGGTGGCCATTAACTTTTCGTAGTTAATAAATTTTATTTACCATATCTTATATCCTAGCGTCATGGTCTAAAAATGTCCCACACAAGTATTACTTCACCTCCTTTTTTAATGTAGTTGTCATTTCTATGTCCTGTTGTAATAATTATTTCACTTTGTAGCCGATCCTTGTTATCATTATAAAAACCTGAGTGATGCCAATAGAAAGGTAAGTTACATAACACCTAGCAGTTCAGAGCTGTGTGACAACCAACTCCCTGAGGGATGGTATCGTTTTGTGGGAGCTTCAGGAACAAAAATGCCAACAACGCGTGTGTCAGCATTCAGATGTGGTACAGTCAACTCAGGCTGGTTGAATGGTGCTCATCCTACAGTGGAAGATGGTAAAGTTCACAGAAAAGTCTGCTTTAGTGATCGCTCTGCTGGTTGCAGATACTCAAAGGAGATTTTTGTGAAAAACTGTGGATCATACTATATCTACAAACTTTTCAACCTTCAACGCTGTAGTGTGCGTTACTGTGGTACAGACTGAATGTAGAGCAAAAATGTTAGGAAATAAGAGAACTCATAAATTGATCCTGAGGTACACTTAGGGATTTTGCTAAGTCCTCTTTAATGATAATCATTCATTTTTTCTATCGATTTTATACGTTGATGATGTCCCTTTAACGGGTAGTCAAAAATACTTTGAATTTCATAATTTACGAAGTATCTATTTCGTAATAGTAATCACGAATAATTAATTTATGTTAAAACAACTACTAGCGAACACAAAGAAAAGCATAGAAAAGGAAAATGCTTAGATGGTGAAATCCTTAACAAGCAGGAACATCATTCAGCATGATAACCAATAAAATATGAGGAAACTCGTTTTTATAAACGTTAGAGGCTGCTATGCAGGATGCAATATATAGCACGGCATGATGATTATAGCTTCAGTTTTTATAGGTAATCACTTGATTTCGGGTGCAATTTGCAATAAATAAGCACTAGTAAAATTTTTCAAAGACTAACAAAATTACACGAGCTCTTAGGGCGAGTGCAATATATGATCTTTGAAAAAATTTACAAGTGCTTATTTATTCCAAATAGCACGAGAAAAATCACGTGATTACGTATTAATGATATACATGAAAAAAATACGAGATAACTATGCAGAAGCAAAGCGCGCGCATCAAGTGCAAAAATAACTTATTCAAACCACGCGTTGTGTAAAAACAACCGCGTACAATCAAAACAATAATATTATGCCTGTGATGATAGAGTGATCACATAGAAAAAATTATATGTGTGGCTTCACTTCCTATTGGGGGAAGTAGCCACATAAATTGTGATTAGAAATCACCAGTGGAAAGCGCTATCATAGACTGTAATTAGGTGTGATCATAGCCTTGGAAGCCTGTAATGATAAATTGATCACACTGGAAAATAACGTATGTGGCCTTCCCTCCTTCAGAAGACAGTAGACACACAAATTGGGATTAGAAATCACGAGCGGAAAGCGTGATTACAGACAGGTAATTAGGTGTGATCATGGCCTTGGAAGCCTGTGATGAGAACGTGATCACAAAGAAAAATAACATGTTTTCGCCACATCGATTGTGATTAGAAATCACGATTGAAAAGCGTGATCACAGACCGGTATTTAGATGTGATTACGGCTTGGGAAGCCTGTGATAATAGCGTGATCACACTGGAAAATAACGTTTGTGGCCTTTCCTCCTTCAGGGAGCAGTAGACACACAAATTGTGATTAGAAATCACAAGCGGAAAGCGTGATCGTAGACTGGTATTTGGATGTGATCACGGCCTGGAAAACCGCAAGGTACCAAGATGTTTCTGCGTGATGAGCACTAGAGACTGATTTAGAAAAATTTTAAAGATTTAAAAACAGCTTTATGAGCTAAAAACAATTGGTCGCACAACAAACCGAAGTAAACGCGTAGAACAAACATTTCAATTATGTTTTGTTGAATTTCAGTAGCATTTAACTCACCAAGAGATGTTACTTTGTGAAAGTTTTTTGCTCCATTGTAACATAAATATTTGGGGTCTTCCACGAAAAATCTTGAAAACAGTAGAACTGTTCTTTGTAGTAAAAATGTACAACTAGAAAAATTCTTGAAAGCCACCATACCAATATGTATTTGTGAACGTTTGATCCACCTTACGGAATCGTGATGTAAACTAATTATTAAACGAATACTGTTTCCTACATCTATCTGTTTTTATAATCAATAGCCCGCACTTTCTATCGGTTTACCAGCGTAAAAACCAATGCAACAGTTTCTATCGTAACCATAGCTACCAGACAGCGATAAAAGGATACGCATTTGGCTCAATAACACTAAAGTTGGGCACCAAAGAACGCTGAATCTTTGAAGGTAAGAAATGATCATACTTAATGCATGGATAACTTGAGTTTGGCTTTCATTCCATAATATAAATTGGATATCCACCCTTGACTCCTCTATTTCTGTGTAGTTGATATCAAGCGAAAATGAAATTTATCGAGCATCCAAATGTGGGTATAAAAAACATTTGGCGAGAAAACAACTTCAGCTATTTGAAATAATCAGGATCATTATCCTTAATTTTTAGTTTCCTACAACAGGATTCCTTTTGAACCTTTTTTCAGTGATATTTCTTTAAGTTTATAGTTATACCTCTTCTCAAATTTTTAGTTCCATCATTACCGTAAACAGAGAAATGTGCTAAATTATCAAAAAGTCAGTGTGGGCCGTTCCAAGCTCGTCACAAATTGTGAAACTGGAGACGACAGGAAATTCCAAAGAGCGATGAGAGAGGATTTAATGCTGTGACGAAGCCCGCTGTCTGGGTTTAAATTGAAGTACAGAAATATAGAGTTAATGACAAAAATCTTCTTCATTTGAAATATCCAACTTGTCAAAAACTATAACCGTTTTTTTCGCTCTGTACTAATAATGATTTCCTTTCAAAAATGGTTTTGTCTCATCCCCCATAGATTGATGATTTTGAAATAGAAGACCTTGAAAATATGGAAGTTGATTTTCATGTCTCCTAATCAGAAAAATGAGTCGGGAACTAATTGTTGGCTCACGGGTCCCGTTAAGTCTGTAGCAGTTGTATCTAACGAAGGAAAACCTGAAAATGTTTTATAATTTAGAAGGTATTCCAATGAAGGCCTTGAAGGCCAGATCCAATACTAGATAGTTTGGCTCAATCAAATCGTAAATTACGGCACACCTTTTCCAAATATTAATTTGCTATTATCCTTCAGATGGAGGAGACGCTTAGAACAACATTCAGAGCATCGTCTTACCAAAGCTCTGGATTAAGTATAGCAGCTGTCTACACTGGATTGTGCTCAATCATTATGAGATATCTGAGGAGTTCTGCCTTGGCACTCTTTATGCAATCTTATTATGTAAGTTGCACGGCAAATTTATGGAATTTCAGTAGTTTTAGTGGAGATTTTCTGTTTCTTCAAACTAAAGAGCTTATTAGAACTCATCATTAATTAATCTTGACTTTAATGAAAGCGAGGGGAGATAAAATGACTAAATACTGAGGGCTTCAAATAGGAGAACCATCTTTAACTTGTTGCATTCCTGTATTGCTTAGAGTAAGTAGAAAGTTCAAACAAGAAAATATTTTGCTCGATGTAGTGAAGTGGGAGGTATCACAATCCATTAAAAAACGTGGCTTATTTTAAAATTTCTCGTCTATTTCAAGATATAGTCTAAATTAAGACTTCATGTTTTTGGAAAATGAAAGTAAACTGTGTGAATGCAGGGCTAATGTCTTTTTTGGCGGATAAGGTTACGCCAACCTGTCTGGTCCTACACGCCGATTACCATTATCCCTATGATTTCGTGAGTGGGAATGTCGGTACAGAAGATTTTTATATTTTTATTGCCATGTTTTGTGATTATTGCTTTTTGTCAATTTTTGCCGCTTCGATCAATTTTATGAGGTGTTTTCCCCTGATAATAATAATTTAAAAAAAAAGAAAGAAAGAAAGGGAAAAAAAAGAAAAGAAAACGCTGAATCCATGGATCGATCTTGTAAATTTGAAGGTGTTGTTACTCAGAAACTCGACGGAACTTGACTTTTTATGTGACTGCAGTAACGGAGTATGTTCACCTAATGTTCTCAAGAAAATGATTATAATGTTATTTCCTTAAACGCACTCTACTGACTTTAGTTATGGAGCAATTGAAGTTAATGTTATGGAAATTTGTGTAGCAAAATCCCTGAGTTTAATCTGAAGGTAAACACCGATAGAATCGTAGCTCGCCAAATCCAAAGTCTTTCCATATATCCCAAACGCGTGCCCACGTATCTTATTTGCTTCAGTCATTTCAATGGGTCTAGACTGACTGCTATTAAGTTTGTTAACATTCCATATTCAATACAAAAGGGTCGGTATCTATTACTTAATCCATTATCGAATGCAGGTGGTGTTATTTCTGTTTAAAAATAATTTATTTCAGCTCGTGTTATTTCCCATCACTCTTTATTTTTATTTTGCTGATTCACTACAGTTGATGCTCTGAGCTTATAACTGGTCATTGTGACAAAACTAAAATCCTGAACTCAACAAACATGATTTTTAAGGGAAGGAACCTTGGTCTTGTAAACTTGTTTTGTTAACATTAATGGTATTTAGCAAGGGTGTGCTATTATAATGAACCATCGACAGTCTTCATACAACCCTGATACATCGAGGCATAGGTCGTAATTTTCTCGGCAAATTTATCGAGTTTCTGTATTTTAAGATCAGGCGTTTACGAGAGATTTTTTGTTTGTTCAATCTAAAGAGCTTATTAGAACTTATCATTTATTGATTTTGACGTTCATGAATGTGAGAGAGGATAAAATGACTTATCAATTTGGACTTAAAATTATTTTAGTTTTGTGCGTTCCTGTATTATTTCGAATAATTAGGAGGGCAAAACGAGAATATATTTTGTTCGATGTGGTGCAGTGGGTGGTACAGCTTGACAACTACAAACACGATATTCGAAATTCAAAAAAGAGTTTCCCTCTTTAATTTCGTCGAATTAGAACAAGAGACTCACAATCCACCAAAGAACGTGACTTATTTAATAATTTCCGATTTATTTCAAGATAAAGTCTAAATTAAGAATTCATGTTTTTGTAAAATGAAGGCGAACTGTGCGAGTGCAAGGATTAACGTCTTTTTCGGCGGATAAGGTTATGGGAACCTGTCTGGTCGTTCACACCGATTACCGTATTTTACGAGAATTTTCTTTTCGTCAATTATAGATGCTTTAGTCAATCTTGTTAGGGGTTTTCCCCTGAGAGTGAAAAAAAACAAAAAAAAAAACGAAACGCTGAATCTATGGATTGATCTTGAAAATTTCAAAATGTTGTTTCTAAGAAGCTCGAGGGAACTTGGCTTTTTATGTAACTGCATTATCTAGGCATGTTCATATAATGTTCTTTTAAGAATCTTTTATGATGTTGTTGTCTTAAACGGAAACTAGGAATCGTTTTCTATCCTCGTCTTATCTTATTTCCCAT